GTTTAATGTTTTTCATATTGGTGTTTTGTATTTATGGATTTGAAATGCTGGGTTTTAAACCAGGGACTGTTCAGTCTCTTAGCTGTCATCTTTTTAGTTTTTTTAGGGCAGTGCTTGTTATAGAGGTATGGGTCTTTTTTATAAAATTATTAATAAAATCGTCAATATCTGTATAGATTCTAGCTCAGTTGCCAGTCAATGTTTGCTACTGCTGTTGTGAAGTTATTTAATGGCTGCTCATTGTGAAGTCTAAAGGGTGACTTTAGTAGTGTCTTGGGGTAGTTTCCCAAAGAGTTGTTATGAGGAAAGTAGGGTAGTGGTCGGTGGTATTATCTGTAATTATGCCTGATTTTAAAGGGGTTTATGGTGTTTGGTCAGATGTGGTCAAGTAGGGAAACACTAGTCTCTGTAACTCTTGTAGTTTTGTTACTTTTGGTAGCAACATACATTTTACTCATTGTGTTTGTTGAATTTCAGTAACGTGTGGGTCCTGTCTTGCGGGAGATTTATAATTGAAGTCACCTGAGAGTAGTAAGTGATCTTTGTTCATGAGGCATCAGTTATCATACTTCCTAGGTTTTGACTAAATTGGCTAATGTTTGACTGTGGAACTCTGTAGATGTTTATCAATGTGAGAGGTTTTTGTAGGTATTTGGATTTGAATTTGGCAATTATATATTCCCCATGTTAAATCCCTTGTGCAAGTATTAGTGAACATTCTAGTTGGTCTGAGTAGTATATGGCTGTGGGGCCACCCCCTTGTTGGTCTGGCCTACAGTTGTGTATGGCTGTTTTAACCAGGAATGGCAAGACATCTGTACTATCAGGCTTTACCCAGGTTTCAGTTAGTGTAATGATGGACATATTGGCATGTAAGAAATTTAGTAATGCTATGAGGTCTCGTAATGCTTGCTTAAAGATCTGATTTTTGTATTTAAAGATAGTTATGTTGTTGTTGGCACTGAGAAGTGCCTTGATTGTTCTGCAGTGTAGTAATTACAGTAACTGTTTGATTCATTTTAAATCATTTAAAAAAGAGGTTGGTATCAGGACAATGCTTGTAATCATAAGATTTGTAGTGAATCTATAGTTAGAATTAAGTATAAAACAAGGTAAATAGTCTTAAGCTAAAAAATAGCACCTGAATTATTTAACAAAAGTAAAAAATGACTAAGGTAGTTTTTTTTTTTTTTTTAAGCTAAAAAAAAGGAGACAATATAAAAGGGGCTAATACAAAAAAAAGTGATGATCAAAAAATGGAGCTTGGGAATATGAAAAGTAGGAGTACTATAAAGGTAATTCTTTAAAAATTAGAATTATAGTATAAAATTATAATATAAAAGGGGCTAATATAAGTTTGCGTGAACAATAAAGGGTAATCAAATAAATGAGCTTTGGAATTTTTAATTGCAAAATTGTGAACTTATTCTACTTTACACCTGAGAAAGCAAACCCTTTATTATTTTTTAACAATTGTGAATATATAAACTAGGGTAGTTATATAAAGCTAAAATAAAGGGGAAAATATATAAGGGACTAAAATTAAGTAGTGGTAAACAAAGTTAAATGGACAGATGGTCACTGTGAAATAATATTGGTTTAGGAGTAGGATTTGATTTGTAATATTAAATAATTGAGCAGTTTATTGCACAATAAAAATTAAAAAAAATGAGGTAGTTGGTACTAGCTAGCAAAAGATAGTTTTGGTACTTGCAAAAAGTAATTGGAATATATACTAATTGCATACACAATGAAAAGTAAACAAAAACAAGTAGGATAAACAAAATTAAATGGACATGTAAGAATAATAATATTATTATTTGGAGTAAGATTTAAAGAAAATTTAAAATTATGAGCAATTAATAGCAGTAAAAAAAGTATAGAGTTTTGGAAAGGTAGTTGGCTTAGCAGTGATGAAAAAAAAAAATTCACAATATAAAGTAACGACCTATTGCACCACACTACACCAATCATTGCAACACTCTTTAAACAAATCCTTTGAACCCTCCCCCTTTCCCTACAGTACTCAAAATAAAGGGGTCACCCGATCCACAAGGGGGAGACCAAACAGAGTTAATAACATAGGCCAATACCCAACTTACACCCTCTCTCAAAAATTTCGAAAAATTAATTTTTAAACAATTACTCCTCCCTATCTCCCAAAACAACTCACCCCTCCCAATTTTGGTTTCGGGCCCAAAAAAAATATAATGTGCTATTTACACTGCTAGAACATATATACACTGCAATAAGAAAAAAAAAAGTCCCACTGGGATTTTCATTGACTTAGTAAAGCTTTTTTGTACATTAACCATGCCCTTCTCCACGAAAAATTTTCACACTATGTTTAAAGGGGGACCCCCTCAACTACTAAGTCATACCCAGAAACAGAACCATATGTGTATGCAAATGGGGCAAACTTTTTCCCAAAAACCAATTCAGTTGGGCCCCAGGAAGTGCCTTTGGGCCCCCTTTCTTTTTCTCCTTAATAAATGACCTAAAAAATGCTTCGCAATTACTAAAACCACATATTTCAGATGCACTACATACGTCTTCTCCCCCCCACCCAGTCACGCTACCCAAATACTGTAAAATACCGAATTACAGAAAATATCTACCGGATGATGATAACAAATTACACTAAACATTGAAAAAAAACCCTCTTCTTCGTTTGGTAAAGAGCTACAATGCCCTTTTACATAATGAAAAACGGATCCCTTTTCACAAAGTAACAGAGGGAAATTTTAGGAATCCACCTTGATAATAGACTCAAATTTCAAAACATATAAAACAAATTTCTAAAAAAATTTCCAAGACTGTGGGCATACTATCGAAAAAGGGTACTATCCCACAGTCGCCCTCCTGGCCCTTATCACTCTCTTTTTACCCCTTCCACCTAGGGAAATTGTGCAGGGGGGCTAAACAACAAGAAACCATTCAGCCATAATTACCCAAAAAAAGGCTGCAGTTAGAATGATAAAAAATTCCCACTATAGGGCACCCTCCCCAATATTCAATCCTAAACCTACTCACCATAAAAACACCCATACATTACTGCACCTATTACATACATAGAACACTTAACTTGAATTAACCCCCCCTCAAACATCTCCTTCCCAAACCTCAACGAACACAGACCATAACACAAGGCACAGATCATTTTTAGTTCCTCTTTCCTATCACACTAGCAAAAACTCAATGAAATAAAAGGCCCAAAAAATCGGGAATTTCATTCCCTGTAATAAAAAGAAACCTACCTTTTTTAAAAATTTAAAGTCTCTTTCAAAGATCATTACTCACCCAAAACCAAAAAAATTTCTGAATAACTGAACCTTTTTAAATTGTATATCTTAAATTTTTTCTCACAATTATATCACATAAATTTTAAACCAAAAACCCCAATCTAACTTTTTATTTTTTAAATCACACCTAACAGAATACTCCATTCTACTAAATTTTACAAAATGCATAAAACCCTTTTGACTTCTTTGTAATCCCACTTTGGCTTTATAGTAATCTTTTTTACATTAAATTTTTCACTGTTTTCATCTTTGCTTAGTTAATTTTAAGTTAATTTTAAGCCAGCCAAATGCAATGCAAGTTAAGGGGCTTTGGCAGTGCTCTTTCGTTTTTTTTTGTACCTCTTATGTGTGCTCAAATTTTTAAAATAAAAAAAATAAATAAATATTATTTTTATAAAAAGGGGGAAGGCAAACCCGGAGGATTATAAGCCCCTGGGGGGGGGGTTGGAAGGCATTCGGCTTAATTCGGGGAACGGAGCACAGACCCAATTCCCTAATCAAGAGCCCTCACCAACATCAAAAAACCTTTCCCTTGAGGGATAAATAAAAAAATAAAAAAAAGGGCACTTATCTATCTGTTACAGAAATGTCAGCTTTTCAAAGGAAGGTAGAAAAATCATTTCTTTTGAGATGGTATATTGTTGCCCTGTTTGGTTTTCCTTACTGGTATTTTCCCCATCTCGGTAAAACACTGATTTATTTTTTTTCCTTTTTAAATTTTTTCTCAGCCTGAAAAAAAGGTTTTTTGACGTTTTTTTTTTAGACACTCATTTATGTACACTCCTTTTTTCATTGAAATTACTGTTTTAAATTTGGGCCCTTTTTTTATGGTATGAATAAAGGCTGAAATTTTAACTGTGTTTACTTCCTGGTTTTCCTAAAAACGTGTTTCTTTGATTTCATTGTTTTGCCGATGACTTTACTGGTTCTGTATTACCCTGACAGCAGTTTTTTGCCTGTGCTTGTGTTATGTCACTGAATGTGTGACTGTT